GGCATGTTGCCTTGTTTCCGCTTAAATTGCTCTATTTTAACTTATTTATGTCCTAAAAGAAGAATGTAATTTGTTTACAAACCTGTAGATAATGTCTTTGGCTATTTGTACGGTTTAAAAACTCTGGCGGCTGAGAAGCTGTACAGACAGCTCAGCCCACCAGACATTTCTCCTGGATTGCATCCTTGATGTTTTACAATAGCCATGCTCTGATTTTTGCCTGCTATTTCCGTTCAGTAACGTCACTACCACAGGAGGCTCAGGCAGAAGCCAAATGCTGAGTATCTATCCAGAGGGGTTTCACATCATGCTCCATAGACAAAGGGAGAGGAGGAGAGGTTTCCTGGGTTCGCAGCACTAAAGGGCCAGCCCAGCCCGGCCCAAGGATGAAGGGATCTAGGAAGCAAGGGTTGAAGACTTTTCTCTCAATGAAACTCACTTGAGTTTACCAAGAGTATTTCCAATCTAGGTTCTCTTTGGCGCTGTCTGTACAGAGACTGGGGTAGTGTTGAGATATTATAAATGCTGTTGTGTTGATTTTTTTAAGTTAGTAATTTAGAGGTTTATTTCCTTACAAATTGCAGCATATGAGCTGTTGGCATATGGATGAGGATCAGTATGGCTTGCTGCTTTTATTTTTATTTTTGAAGAAAAATAGCCTTTTTCTCTGCACTACTTAGATCCGAATGAACTTTATGATGTGTATATTGAGATGTATTCAGTGTGATTTTTAAACCAAATTGTCTTCCTGTAGTCACAATATATACTGTAGCCTTTTAACAGCAAGTCTTGCTTTCCCAGACAGAAAGCCATTCTGAAACCCTGCAGTATCACAGGTGAGAAAAGGTGGTTATTTTTTCCCCCACAACAATAACAGCACTAGTAATCCCACTTAATAAGAGCTTATTTAATTGTATGTCAGCCTCTTAACTGCTAAGCACTTTGTGAGTCTCAGCTTTTTTCATAAAAGAACTTTTGTATTTAATACAAAGTTTGCTTTGAGACTTTTCAGCATACGATCTTTTTCCATAAACTTGTACAGTGCAAAAGACATTTTGAATACCATGATCGATGATGTCCCATGCTTCGAGGAAAACCAAACACTTCCCACCTCGCTTGCGAAACTCATTCCTCATGCTGACCTTCCCACAGTTGTTCTGTGTCCGCCCGGCCCCTTCCCTTCTCCGAGCCCAAAGAACTCTTCCACAAACAAGATGAGATCCCCTCGGGAAAAGAGCCATAGTCAGCTGGGAGGGCCTAGGTCTGGATGGCTGAGGAAAAACTTGAGGGCTTGGCGTCCAAACTCAGCCAACCCCATAAGGCTTAACCCTCCTGTCAGGAGAAAGCTTTCAAGAGGGCCTTCTTTGTGAGAGACCATCACCTGAATGTCGTGACGAAATATCTCTGAATGTATCCAGCAGAGGAAACTGCACCCCCAATGGGGCAACCAATCCTCAGATGTGCTTATTGGATTCAGCTACGAGCACCACCAAAAGCCAGCCCGCTGAGCTCCTCTGAGGAAGGAAAGCCTCACATATGTGAGACACAGGGCAGCCTCAGAACATAGTGTTTTTTGGAGTTTCCTTTCTCAAGGTTTCCCATTCTCCCCTTCTTCGTTCCAATCATGTGTCTGTGACCTCATTCCGTGACACCAGGATAAGTGGAACTATCCTGTTCCTCTGCAGCAAAGATGCAAGGAAACCAGGAGGGGCTTCTCTGAGTGGACCTTCGCTTGGGGAATACGGAAGGATGGAAGCTACTGAGAATGTCTGACGACAGTGTTGGTCCTTTCTTGTTAGGAATGATGGATTCTCCCCCACATACACCCTTACTCTCACATTTGCATACACAGCCACACACCCAAATGATTGGTTTGTCAAAACTCACTGTAGTACATAAAGCTTGCACTCTGCGTCCTATATCTAGCAGCATGGGGTACGTTTGGCAGTTCACCCCACTAGGGGGTAAATAATTTATGACCATTCATCTGTTTTTATGAATTTTTTTATCTAGACAATAATTGTAAATAAAGAACTCACCGTCTCTGTTCATTTAATACTATGCAATGGTTATGCTTTCAATTGCTGACTCTTCTTACTCCAGCAGTACTCCAGTGGTTCTGAAATGTCTATGGTTTAAAAAAAAAAAAAAAAAAAAGCAGGCAACAACTTCAAACAGAACATAATAAGTATGTGCTCTGTATTGTATACTCTTTTCTACTTTGGGACTGTACCATCCACTTAGCTTCTTTTCTGCCCTCTGAGCTAGGGTCCCATGAGAAGATGGCAGATGCAGCTGTGAGGTCTAAGCTCACCAGCTTGCACCCCCCAACTGATGAGGTAAGACCAGGCACCCCCAATCAGTGGTTCCTGGGTCTGTGGAGTCCCCCACCTTTGCCGGTGAGCTGGGAGGACCCTGAGGAGTTTCCTTCCCACAACTTAGGAGAGCTTTCCATAACTCAGGAGCAGCCCTGACTGCTCCCAGCAGCCCCTCACCATGACCCTTTGGCCCAACCAGTGCATAGAGGTGGTAAGAGAGAGGGCACCCTGCTTCTGAGACCAGACTAGCTACAATGAGTACACTGGAGCAACAACTCTATGCCTCTATACCCTGGTCCTGGGTATCCCAGTTACCAAATAGTGTCCTCTCTTCTCCAACTGTTTTTGAAATGACACCTTGACCACATACTGACATCTTATATAGACTTGGGTTGATTTCTAGAATTTCTCTTCTGTTCCCTCTTTGGGTGTCACATCTGGCACCAGTCACATGGCTTTATTTATTGTAGCTTTATAATGTTTTATTATCTGGTTATCTGGTGGGGCAATTCTCCTTTGCTTTTTTTTTTAAAAAAAAAAAGTCCTTCTTATTCCTTGATATCTATTCTCCCAAGTAAACTTTAAAATTTTGCCAAGTCTTCCACCCCCTGCTCTCCTCCCACTCTAAATTCTGGGACCTGTCATTCTCTGCACAAACATCTTCCTTCCATTGGTGTTATAGCTACAGTGCTCCTATAAGGAGGAACAAAAAGGGCTTCCTGCCTCTTGAGGAAAACTAGACACTCCCCCCATCATGTTGCCTGTCCCCTAAGCCCAACTCCAGGAGTTGTCAGAAAGGTCACTGGGCCCCCACCTAATCTCAGCTTGGGAACCTGCATCACCCCACCTTGGTTGTACTGGGGTGGAGTTTCCATCTGCCCCTGCCCCAGATGAGAAAGAGGAGTCTGTTCCAAACCTGGAACTACCAGAGCCAGCTAGGAGAGAGCATTGCTAGGCAGAATGTTTGGCCATTGTCTGTACTTCTCTTTCACATCAATGAGAAACGTTGATTCCCATCTCCCTTTCCTGAGCTGATCTTCAGAGGTTGTGTGACAGGTCCTTTGGGATGCAGCATTTCTTGCCTGGACCTTCTCACTATCCCTACCCCCACAACCCCCTCCCCTTCTTGCTCTACCTATAAGAGGCTGCCCACATGGTGCACTCCAATGAGACTCTCACCCAAATCTCTCTCCTGTCATAGTGTTTGATATCTCTTGCATTGAAAGAGGGAGTTTCTTGAAGGCTTTGGGGTCTTCCAGAGCCATGACCTAAATCAGAAAACAGCACGAAATTCCCAGGTCTTTTCCAAGTTCCAAATCAAGCTCTTCTTATTTTGAAATAGAGATCCTACTCACCCAAGCAGGCATGAAGGATGGGTGGGAGGGTGAGCCCAGAGTCCAGGCATCAGCCACCGCCCATTACCAACAGCAAGACAGCTGAGAGACCAACCTTCCCAGCCTAATTATGTCTTGTAATGCCTGTGGTGCTCTCCCTCCTGGACCTGGAACTTTCGGGGGTCGCCATACTTAGCTAACTCTTGTGTGCACATATTTTATAACAGAGTAGCAAAAGAATGGTGCCGCCTCCAGCTTCCACAAGCTTCCTGGGCTCTGGGGGACTCTGGGGCAATCTGGGCTGGGAAGAGACTGTGCTCTCACTGTACACTCATTATTTCTCTGTAACTCTGGCTTGTGCTCTTTGTAATTAATGGGATTTGTCTGCCTTTTCAAACTATACTGGGCAATAACAATAAACGCACACATGGAAATGCAGACACGGTACACATCACAAGGCCTTTTTCCGAAAGACAGCTGGGCCGTCCCCCTCCAGGTATTTGAACTCAGAGGGAAGTTGGGTCTCTGGGAGGGAAAGGTACTTGGCCCAAGAGCACAGCACTCAGTGGGTGGTCTCTCTTCTCCCATCAGATTACCCTTTCTGGAGGGAGTGTTTATTCATAGCTGGAAAGCCATGATTTAAGGGAAACAAGTGTAGCCTGCCATCAATCACTAATCCTCCAGGAAGAGTGGCCCATAGTTCCAGAGCTTAAGGCCTTGAGAGTTGAGAGAAGGGGCCTCGAGAGGAGAAGGAGATTCAGGGGCAAATGGGTTTTGGGGAGTGGGGAGAGGGACACACATTGGAGAGGGCTAAGAATGGCCTAACTTGGGTTCTGGGCTTAACCAGAGGAAGGGAGTGAAAGATATGGACATAGGATGTAGGTGGTATCCCCTAGTGGGGAAGAGGGAGGCAGGGGGAGCCTGATACCCAAGAGTCGGAACTTTGCAAACCTCTATTGAGTATCAGCAGAGAAAGACAATGTGCCCAAATGAAGAAACAGTCCCCAAGAGTTGGGGGTCTCAGACGAATGCACGCGTACACACACTCCTCAGATTCTAGATGCTTCTCACGGAGAACTAATCCTCAGATCAAGCACCCTAAGCCCATCTGACTTCCAAACATTGTTTCACATCCAAGGGTCCATTTAATCCAAATATCAACCTTTGGAGGAGGTATTATTATAATTTCCACTTTACATAAGACCCAGCAGCTTAGAGGTGAAAGATATGCCCGCCTAGCAAGTAGGTGATACAGTATTCATACCTAAGCAGTCTTAATTCTAGAACCTATACTCTAAACCTCTATATTATAATGCCTTTCAGGCCCATCACCAAATATCTTAATGAGTAAGATACACTACCATTGCTTGTCCCAAATCCCCAATCTCTTCTATTTCATTGCCTACACCAGGGCATTCCTTTAATAACAATGATGGTCCATGCATTATATCTAATATGTCATTATCCTCATTTCTCACTTCAGGAAATGAGACTCAGAGAGAAAAGTGACTTGAAATTATCACCCAGAGTATCAGTGGTGCAGCTATAGGCCAAGGCCAGGGCCTGTCCCTTGAAGAAGAGGAGAACCAAGAGCCACCACCCCCACCCCCAGCCCTTTGCTCTCTATATCACCCCAAACACACCTACTGACACATACACCCCTGAAATATTTCTCTACTAGGGGGAAATATAAGTCCTAAACGCAAAGGTGGGGGTTGGAAGGATGGTTTACTACCTGGAGTTCTGGCCAAGTTCTGTAGCACCCCACTCTTCTGGGCCCCCTCTATTGATCTTTGACAGTCTGGGTTTATCACACTTTCTGAGCCTTAACATCTTCACTCAAGTGATGAGTATCTCCGGCTAAGGTTCTTATCCTCATTTTCAAGAGAGGAAACGGAGGGATTGTGACATACCTGGGGAGCCTAGGCTCCACCCTAGGTTCCTCGCCTCATTAAAGCCCAGAGGGAACCCAGGGCTGCTAGAGGTTGTGTGACTGAAAGGAGCCTCAGGCTCTGTCTAGAAGCACAGCATTTCTCACTGTGCTTTTGCGGAGCCCTCACCTTCCCTCATTTGGGCATTGGGTGACGGGAGGGGAGAGGGAGATTGCAAAACCGGGTATTGGGTCCGGGGCTCTAGCTGCAGGAGCCTAGGTGAAATCTCTCCTTGCTTCGGGGATCTACCTAAAGGGCCAAACTCACAGGGTCCTGGGGCTGCTGTGGGGATGGAGCAGTTTAGAGGCATTGGTCCTACGGCTTGGATAGGGCAGAACAAGAGGGCTCAACTTCTGGTAAGGGGCGTTCCCTGGCCTTCTCAGCCCCTAGTCACAGCCCTTGGGTCCTGAGGAAGGGCTAACAACAAGGAATCATTGTTGTTGTTGTTATGTGCCCTCGAGTCAGCCCTGACCCATAGCGACCCCTCCTTGGGTTTCCGAGGCAGTATCACTACGGAAGTAGGATTGCCCAACCTTCCTTCCGAGGAGTGGCTAGTGGGTTTGAACCGTCAGCCTTCTGGTTAGCAGTCAAGTGCCTTAGCCACTATGCTACCAGAGCTAGGGACCAGTCTATTCATTCCCCCCAAAATTAATCAACTTACAATATTCTTCAGAAGGTCGCTCGCACCCAGCATCGCAGGGGGGCTGGTAAAGCTACAGTTAGGAACTCTTTCTCTCATTTTTCAAGAAAAAGGAAGAACTGGTCAGGAAATAGATCAGCCAGAGCTTCAGATTCTAAATGGTCCCAGGTCAGGATCTCCATGGAAACCAGAGCCCCACCCCGTTGGTCCCGCGCTCTAGTCAGGATAAGGGGCGCGGCAACCGGAGGATAGAGCGCGGCCTCGGGAAGGCACGGAACCTTCGTTTGAGCCGGAGCGGATTGCAGTCCGGAGGCTCTTGAGCCACCGCCCGCTTGCCGCCAGCCGGCACCGGAAGTAAACCGTTTGGAGACGCCGTTGGGAGCTGCCACGTCCGAGGCCGGGAACCACCACCGCCACAGCCATGGTGAGTGTCGGGGTCGGGGACGCCGAGGGGGGTTCGGGCCGCGGTCGCTCGCCTGACAAAATCGCCCTCATGGGTTCCTCGGTCGCTCTGAGGCTCAAACCGGGAGCTGGGATCATTCAGTTCCTTGCCACCATTTCGAGGTTTGATGGGTCTGGCCCTGCATCTCTGGACCTTTCCGAAGAGGAGGCCAGCGTTAGGCCGCAAATATCCCGGAACTCTGCTTGCCGCATCTCTTTTTCTTCCCTCATTATTAATAACAAAAACAATACACTACTGTATTCCGAGCTCTTAGTAAGTTCCAAGCATTGGCTATAATATCAGTCGGCCAGCAGCCGGGCAAAGTACATGCTATTGTTATCAACATTTTTCACATGAGGAAATTTGAAGTTCCGAGAGGTGAAGCCTCGTGCACCGCTGGTAAGTGGCGGAACAGTTATTTGAACCCTCTTTAACCATTCGTTTCTGCTACCTACCAACTCTCCCAGCATAGATGTTGGTCAACTCTTTCTGAACGCTGAGTCCCCAGAGGATACTCCAGCTATGATGGACACTTTAGGAAACTGATGTAAGGATGAACTAAAAGACTCTAATGGCAGGGCTCAGTGTTTATTTCGCATCCATGGCACTACACTTAATCATGGAATTAATGATTGAATAGACTAGAACTGATGGATGAAAGCATCTGACCTGAGCCTGGCAGAGTAGGAATTCAGTTAAATACATGCTCTCAAGAAAATGGTTATGCGTCATCAGCAGGCGTGAGGAAACCAGGGTGGACCCAGAAGTCAGGATTCTGCATTTAGTTCTTACTCAAAGGGGCAGGATCAGCTTGGTGTTAAACCTCTGGCCTTTTGGTCTCAGATTCTTTGGCTGCTGAATAGAGCTGAAGTCTCTTAATGCTCATTCTAAATGAATGTCTAACTCATCGCCTGATTCTGAAGAGCTAAATTGTTTTTGCATGTTGCCTCTAAACGAGGACCAGATAACTCCAGATGCTGAAGAGGAAGTACTGTCTGAGCTTTATTTAAAAAACAACACTTGTTCAGAAGCATGGTTTACCAGCCCTCGGTAGTGGGTGAGAGTTGTTAGAAATACATGCTGGTTGTCTCTAAGATCCTTTGATGACCTCGTATGAAACTACATGCCAGCAAACTTGCTTTCTCAATCTACTCAGCCTTCAGCTGTTGGATTTAAGAACTGCTCTAAATATGTGGCCTGGTGGAGTGGAAAGCTTTGTGGTCTGGAGTTAGAAGGTAGGGCTCGATTCCACGCTCTGTGGCTGTGGCAAATGCTTTTCTTCTCTGGACTTCCATTCCTTGATCTGTCAAGACAGCCCTGATTAACTCTGCCCTTTGTACCACTTAATGCATATGTGAAAGCACTTTGTAACCTGGTCTGCTCCACACTCATAGGAGACTCTTTTTTTTTTTTTTTTTTCTTTCAGTTGTTATTTGGGTGAAATTTACAGAGCAAATTCACTTTCCATACAGCTGTTCCCATAAACTTTGTTTCATGACATTGACCACAATTCACCACAAGGCAGCTGCTCCCCTCCCACTTTCTCCCAATAGTCACCTCTTCTCTGAGTCCATTTCTCCATGCACCCCTGTCCCCTGAGCTGTCTCTCCCTGTGCATAAACAGCCCTTCTTTCTCCCATGATTGTTCTCTCCAAGGAGTGTATATATCTCAGGTAAATATTCAACTCCTATGCCTGTCTTTTGCTTGGTTGGAAGCCACAGGTGTGGGTTCAATTCCAGACCCGAAGGGCAGCTAGGGGCCATAGTCTCAGTGGTTCCACCAGGCTCTATCAGACCACCAAATCTGTTCCCCCTTTTTTTTTTTCCAAATGATTTTGAGTTTTGTTCCACATTGTTCTCTCTCTCTATCCAGGGTCTCCTACATAGATCCCCCTCCTGGTGGTTGACATTGGTAGCCGGGCACCATCTAGTTCTTCTTATCTCACAGTCGTATAAGATCCCAGTCACTACTCGCCGAAGTAGGAGGTGGAACAATGTTTTATGCAGCATGTTCTGCCAATTGAGCTTGATGTCCCCTGTGACTATGGTTCTGAGCCCTCAGATTCAACTACTCGGTCCCTCTGGGTAGCTGCTGTGACCAAGAAGTGACTACAACCTTGTCCCTTGTGAGCTCTACTGTACAGCTGGGAATTCAGACCATACAAATACACTTATAGGACCGTTGTCTGCCAACCCCATAGGTGACTCTTATCTTCTTTACTTCTCTTTGCAGGCCTTGGCACCCACTTTTTAGGGAGTCTAGCATTTGATGAAGAAGACTGTGCCCACTTGGTGTGTTTGTTACCTTTAGAGCTGCTTTGCAGCCATCCTCTTCCAATGTTCACCTTTCTGAAAAGTCAAAGTTCATACCTGCAGGGCTTGTGCAGGAAAAGATGATATAGGAGAAATGGGTAGAAATAACAGTTCCAAGTAGAAACCTCCTTTTCAGTGCCCTTTTCCATCTTAATTTAAATAGTGGTCAGGTTTTGTTCATTCATTTACTCATTCAGTAGATAGTCATTCAGTTCCTTCTGTTTGCAAACACTGTGCTAGATGATATGAAGGGATTCACAACTCAGATGACTCAGATCCCGACCCCAGGGTCTAATGGGGAGAAGAAATAGCATAGAGTGTTGTAGACATTCAGTGTCCAACTAGTTGGGGACATCTGGGAATCGTCCAGAGTAGGGTATATTTTGAGCTGGACCTCAAAACATGGGTAAGAAAGCGAAGACCTTGACAGCCATGTTTTAGCCTTACAAACTGCTGAGTCCTGGATCCCACTAGGTGACAATCTTGAATTTATTACAGATGGTGGATCAGGCAGCAGCCTTAGGGGGAGCTTGAATCAAGTCTCTAAGTCTTAGATACTAACCCTGTAATGCAGAAACTCCCTAGAACGTCAGGGCTCTTTCATCCAGGAAGAGAACCCAGCCATAGCACCCTCAAGGTTTCTCCTTACCCTCAATGGTAGCCTGGGCTGCTTACTGTTCCCCTACACACATTGAGCTCTCTCAGACCTCTGTGTCTTTGTTCACACTGTTCACTCTGACTGGACTGCCTTTTTCCCCCACCCCGAGCCATCTGCCAAAGTCCACTCATCATCTGAGCCCCAGTTCATGTCCTTTACCACTGCTACCACAGTACGTATTTATGCTATGTTTGGATTATTTGTATGTGAACTTCTCCAGGGTAAGGAGTACCTTTTATTCATGTTTATGTCTCTAGTCCCTGGCATAGTGCTTGTTAAAAAGAACCACTGTGAGTGAGTTAATGAATGAACAAATGGACAAGTGCAGTCAATTCTAGAAATGATTGGTGGATTTAATGAGAAGATTGCATTCTAACTGCCATTAGTTAATTTACCAGTGATATCTTTGATTCTAGGTGTCAGTAATTAACAACGTGGACACCTCCCATGAGGACATGATTGTAAGTATTCATTCAGCCCTCCCTCAGAGGCTGTGGACATGGGCACTTCTGTGGGAGGGATGGGGTTTTTGTTTTTCATTACTCCTTTCTGCTGATTTACTCATTAGCCTAGGTATGCCTTTGCAGCCTCTTGCCAGTCAGGCTATAGCCGTAGAGGGTATAGTCAGCCCAGACATGTCCTCTGAGTTGACAGGGCTGTGGCAGTCTTATCACTCTCTGTGGAAGGAATTGAGGAATGATGATAGCTCATGGCTCTCAGGGTTCTAGCCAGGTGGGTGTGAAGGTTTGACAATAGTCTTCCCATCTGTCACCCTTCTACTGCCATCTCTTAGCCCCATTGGGGCTAAAAGAGAGAACACAAAGGAAGAGTCAGAAAATGACCCACCACAAAGGCAGAGGGAAGTCGAGGCAAAAGCCCAAGGCAGAGTCAGGCAAGACCACCACAGACAACTGACCAGGCAAGGCCCTGTGAGCCAGAAGTTGTGAACTGAGGGTTTTTCCTGAGAGGCAAATGCAGGGCTCAGTACAAGAGGATAGGACTGCAAGGTTGGGTCCAGAGATTAAAGTCCCAGCAGGAAGAACACAGACTGCTTCATGCAGGGCCTGGCAGTGTAAGCATAATTTGGACAAAAGCATTCCTGCCCAGGGCATTCAGCTTACAGGGTTTCATCCCAGGGTCCCTGCCCTCACATATCCAGCCAGCAGTTGTTTTGGGGTTCTGGAGAGGTTGCCTGGTTCCAGGGTTGTATATGTTCCTGGATTCTGTAGTGTATGTTCTGGTTTTAAGACCACACCTCCATAGAGATAGCATGGTACCATGGGTAAGAAGGCCTGGTCTGAAATTCCCTAGCCAATCTCATAATTTTTCTGAGCCAGCCTTAATTTCCTCATAGCTAAAGTGAGCAAGATAATGAATGAGCTATCTACTTGTTTGAGTTTGAGGAACAAATGAGGCAAAGCAATAATGGCTAACAATTACCCACTCACTAAGCACTTTTTATTCAGTATCTCATTTAACCTTCAAAGAACGCTTGAAGCAGATACCATCATTAGTCCCATTTTAAAAATAAGAAAACTGAAGTTCAAGGAAGTTTGGTAATTTTTCAGAGGTTGCACAGCAGATAAGCTAAGGAGGTGAGATTTAAATCTCTAAGGTACTGTGCCTTGCATTATCCCAAAGTGTGTGGTAGCACTCCAAAAGGGCTTTGGAAGTACTTGTACAGAGATCTACCTTAGCTCCTGCACTGCCTACCTTCCAGGAAGCCAAGCCTTGAAATAGTGGAGAGGGTTGACTTCCACAGAAAAATCAGAAAGTTTCCTTGGGTAAAGAGGTAAGAAAGGGCACTAAAACAGACAGAATGGGACAGCTGAGGAAAGTGGTGTCCACTGGAATAGATGGGCCAGCAAGCACAAAGCAGCAGGTGGTGTTCAGCCACCTGTTCAGAGGAGTTCAGAGGGTTCAGAGGAGCCCAACCTCAGATAGACAAGAAGCCATGGGCAGGGCCCAGCCTGAATCTGAAGGGTCAGTCAGCATCACGGAATTCAGTTTATGAGCAATAGGACCTAGAACACTAAGGCATTGTTTTCCTTGGGAATGGGGGATCTGGAGTACTGAGCACACTACCAAGACATAGGTAAGGGAGAAGCCCAGGAACAAAGGTACATAAAGAATCTGGGGCCATGGAGGAAGAAGAAAAACACTGCCATCAGTCCCTATAGGACAGAGTAGAACTGCCCTATAGGGTTTCCAAGGCTGTAAATCTTTATGGAAACAGAGTGCCTCATCTTTCTCCCATGGAGCAGCTGGTGGGTTTGAACCCCTGAGCTTTTGGTTAGCAGTCCAGTGCTTTAACCACAGTGCTACCAGAGATATGGAGGAAGGAAGAGCAGCCCAAATACCTGAATGGAACCTGTGTCCAGGCCAGAGATACATTCACAGAGGACTCAGTTAGGCTTCGAGCTAGTCAAAGGCCTGCTAGTTTGAGCAACATTAGCCCCAGGTTCTGGGGCTGAGCTGATCCTCCAGGCCAGGGTCTAAGAAAAGGATGGGGCCGGAGAGGAAGGAGAGGGAGGCCGGGCCAGCTTTTTTCTTCCCTACCTACCGTACAGACAGACTATGAAAGAGCCTTCCCTGGCGTATAAAGATTCTGTAAAATCAGCTGGATATGGTTTGTTTTGTCCCATTCAGAAAGACATTGGCTGTCAGAGAAGTGAGAATGTTGGCATGCTAGCTTGCTACCATCAAGTTTTTCAGAGTGGATTAATTTCAGGTAGTCTGATTCAAACTAGACTGTCTTGGTCGTTACCCTTCCTACCTCGCTTGCGGGCTTCCCATGCTGTCCTCCCTTTGCAGCATGATGCCCAGATGGACTACTATGGCACCCGCCTGGCAACCTGCTCATCCGACAGGTCCGTCAAAATCTTCGATGTGCGCAACGGAGGGCAGATTCTCATTGCTGACCTGAGGGGGTAAGTGTGCCCAGTCCTGGGGAAGGAATTAATTGTTTGGCCTCTGAGGCCTCAAGGAACAGATGAGAACTCAGTTTAAAGGAGCCCCTTAGTATACTTAGCACAGAGGACCCCTGGGCCCTGCCACCTCAGTAGATGCCCCAGGAGTGATGTGGGTAGGAGCATAAGTGGGCCCAGGAGTGAATCTAGGTCTACTGTCCTTACACCCACTAGAGGACCTTGGGAAATGAGTCGGTTTACCTCTCTTGAGCTTTGATCTGCTCCACCACAGATGGTACTGATGCTGCCCGCTGCTCAGGTAACTAGTATGCCTTGTGAGGACAGTGTCCAGCACACATTAAATGTTCTGTAAGGCAGCTGTTGCTCCTTTTAAAAGTGGTAAACAATAACATTTTTTTTTTTGCAAATTTAGCTCTTATGATCTAAAGTGTCACTCAAGAGTGTTAATGTAAGAATAATGCCCTGAATCCTATCATTCTGCCTGTTTGCTCATGGCAGGTGCTCAGTGAATATTTACAAATGTTTGATTTACCCTTCTCCCTCTTAAGATCTTTAGGAAGTCCTGTCCTCATTTCTATGGCCAAACTTCTGCTGCTCTCCCCTCAGTTCACTGCCTTTCACATCACTGGCCTCTTAACCTGGTGTCTTCCAGGGTTCTGTGGATAGAATTCAGTGGTTGGTGAACTGGAGTGGGAAAAAAATCACTTCTTTATTTTCAGTGACTCTGGTATCTAGCATGTCCTTTGATTGTGGATGTAGACAAGAAACTACAGTAGTAGTCATGTTACCTGTCACTTTGACACCCATGGAAATCATAGATGTTTCATATCATACTTCAGACATCTCACTTATAATCATCTCTACTTTGAAACTACAGTGATTATTAGACCTGCCACTAGAACTTGTTAATGTGTTAATAAATTGCACATATATCACTATAAGCATAATCTTTTTATAACATTTTGATAACTATTTCAATATAATTAGGTTTCCTTTATAATCCTAGTTCTGTTCTCCACTCCTCACTTATCAGCCTTGGTTAGACTTCAAAGACCAGGTGGTCACTATGCAAAAATCGGCATTATGTGAAAATGGAAAATTTTTTTTTTTCTATTTTCAAACCATCCATGTGGTGGTTAAATTTGTGTGTCAGCTTGGTTAGGCCTGGTTGAGTGGGTGGGCAGCTGGTGGTCATTATTCCCCATGAGGAGACTGGTAATCAACTCCATGGTGGAATCTACTGTGAGCAGCTGAGTAGCTGCCTTTGGGTATGTGGTCTGCTTCCCACATATAAGAAACAGCTTTGGGAATGGTCTCTAATTTATGGCATGCTTGAACTCTGCATGTAGTCACGTCATACCATTCAGCAGCTGCCATGTTCTGCCGATTTTTGGACTTCAGTGAACTTGAATGAATGGCCTGCCGTGTGGTTTGGTAACATAGGGACTATGCCATTTTATTTGTTGACCTTGGGCTTTTTAGCCTCAGCAGTCAGTAGCTGCCTGAGTGAAGAGATGCCTCTAGCTTCAGTGGGCCAGGAGCAAGAGGCAGAGCTGAAGCCCAAGGTCAAGGGGCTTTCACACAGCCCCTAGAACCTGACACTTTGAACTCAGACTTCTGGCCTCCTGAACTATAAGAGAATAAACTCCTGTTTGCTCATTTGTGGTATATTCTTGTCAAAGCGGCACTAGGTAACCAGAACAGAACAATCCACTTGTCTGATTCTTTTAATTTAGAAAATACGATCATAGAAATAATAACAGCTAAGATTTAGTGATGTGCTCATCACTGTGGTGAGTCCAGTTGTGGATTATTCCTCTGCAGAAAAAGAGTCTTGGAGGAGACAAAGCTGGATAAAGCTGGGCTGTGTAACTGGGGGGCCCATGGCTTAACTCCTTCATCTTCCTCCTGTGCTGGGTCAGAGCTACCCTTGAGAAGCCACCTCTAGGGCTCCCACCCGTGCAAGCCCTGCATTCATGATCCCAGAACCTGCTCTGCCTTCCAGGCTTGGCGAGTCACAAAGGCTCAAGGAGGGCGCTGGGAGTCTGGCCGCGCACCTGGTCCCTCCAAGGCAGAGTCTTCGGACCCAGTTTGGCTCACTTTGGGATGTTATGAAACTCATGCATTTCTTCTATACACCATCTCCAGTGCCTTTTTGTTCCCTCTCTTTTTTTTCCCCTTCCCACCTCTCAGCAGTTTGGAACTGAAGGGCCTCAGGTTGCATAGGAGCTGGCAACCAACAGTTAGTTGACTTGCTGGTTCAGTGCTACCTGTATGTTCACCCAGAGGCCAGAGGCCATGGCCATGGAGAAGGCTGGCCCTTTGTAGCATCTGGACACAGTGTCCCCGTCAGAGGGAGCACAGGTATGGGGCAGTGCAGCCCAGCTTCCTGGAGGCCCTCCTCAGGGAAGGGACACTCCACAGCTGTTGTTGCTGTGCCCACTGCCTTATTAATGTGCAAAATAGTCCTATCATAGATTTTTTTACTATTGTTATAAGTGTGGAATGTTAGATAACAAGATAATCAATAAGTGAGGATTAAGTATATTTTATCCATTATTCTGTGAAGGGGTCTACAGCCTTCACCAGACTTTGCAAAGAAAAGATTAAGAACCCCTGACAAGTAGGTCCTCAGTGCATGTTTGTTAACTGAGTTAAAAAAAAAAATAGAAATCAATAGCAATTTGGGAAAGCAAGCCTAGTAGTTACCTTCTTATTGCATTTCAAGAATCAAGTGACCAAGGAGCCAAATGCCCTAATGAACAGAGGGCTGCTAGGGTTAGGCCTGGTTGCCAATGCTGGCTGAAGTGGTCATGTTTGCTGTGACTTGATCATTTCTGCTTCACTTTTCTTAGGCTGAAAGGATGTGAAATATTGGAGGGATAAAATATTCACATTCCCATTCTTTTTTGCACATTCCAATTAAAACTTTGCTAGTTTTTGGAAATCTGAGTCTACTCACAGTTTTATTTGCAGCTCCTTTGTAAGGACTGGGAATGTTGACCCAGCAGAGGAAGGAGGAGACTGAGTATCTATAGCCCTAGTGTGTAGGCGTAAACAAGGAGTAGAACTGATAGCTACCAGGCATTAAGTGGTTTTTTGACTAAGCACTGTTCTAACTTATACCATAATATTAAAGAACTCCAGTGGTGCAGTGGTTAAAGCACTTGGCTAGTAACTGAAAGGCTGGCAGTTTGAACCCACCAGCAGCTCCATAGGAGAAAGATAGGGCAATCTGGTTCCATAAAGATTATAACCTTAAAAACCCACTGGGCAGTTTTCTATATATATGTATAGTTCTATATATAGACCCTATAGGATCGCTATGAGTCAGAATCAACTTGACAGCAATAAGTTTGGTTTTTTAATTCCAGATGTTTTTGCCTCATGACTACCCTATGAAAGAAGTATTCAAATGGAGATTAAGCCATAGTGTCTTAGTTATCTAGTGCTGCTGTAACAGAAATACTACATGTGGATGGCTTTAACAAACAAATTGTTCTCTCACAGTTTAGGAGACTAGAAATCCAAATTCAGAGCTCTGGGTCTAGGAGAAGACATCTCTCTCTGTCAGCTCTGGGGAAAGGTCCTTATCTCCTTTCAACATTTATGGCTCAGCATCCCTTGCATATCTCTGTGTGTCTTGGCTTCATTATTCCTCTGGGTCTTAGAGGTTCTCAGCCTAGGCACCCTGGGTCCAAAGGATATGTTCCACTCCTGGCTCTTCTCTCTTGGTAGTAGGGAGGTCCCTCCCTCTCTGCTTGCTTCTCTCTTCTTTGATCTTTTAAATGATTTAAAAAACAAAAGGTGAGGCAGGCCACACCCCAGAGAAACTCCCCTTACATCAGATCAGGCCTGTGACTTGAGTCACCTGTGAAAGGTGTTGGCATCCCACGCTATTCTTACCTTACAACTGATGATCACATCAGATCACATCTTGGGGGAAGATTACATCTTTACACAACTGCCACACCACTGAGAATCATGGCCTAGCCAAATTGACATATATTCTGAGGGGACACAATTCAGTCCATGACACATCGCGAGGATATGATCCTTGCCACACGTCAACAGCTAGTGAATAACGAAGTAGGATTTGAAAGAGCCTGGACTCCTAATCACTCTCTCTTGTGGGCTGTGGTATAGAAGCTTCCTGGATCAGAGAAATGGTTCCCAGTACAAAGCCTGGCACAGAGTAGATAGTAAGAGTCAGTACTTACCAGGTGAACAGTTAAAGAGCAGAAGAAAAGAGAAAAAAGAAAGACATATTTTGAACAAATTTTAAAAGTAGTAGAAAATATGAAAATTAAACAGATACTGCTTCCTCAGGAAATTAACTGTCTGGAAGGAGGAGTAGCATTTCAGTCTACAAATATTTACAAAGCAGATGTACCCTAGATCAGGGAACGACTGTGCTAATGACAGAGACATAGATGGTGCTAGTTGCAGTCTGGCCAAATAAAGTTTCTGCCTGGTCAGGTCAGGAAGGCTGACTTAGGGGTTGACTCTGTTTCAGATGGCTCTGTGACCTTGACAACTTACTTAACCTCTCTGGGCCTCAGGGTTCTCACTGTCCAATGAGACTTCCTTTTGGTAGTGGCATTCTATAGTTCTGTCTTCTGAAATTCTTAAGTCGTTCTATCCTGAGACACCGTCTCAGCCTACCAAGGAAGTCATTCAGTTTTGTCTACAACAGTGCCTGGCAGAAGCACTGTGGACTCCCCTGGCCCCTTTGAGCAGCCTCTAACCCCTTTCCCTATAGTCATGAGGGTCCTGTATGGCAAGTAGCCTGGGCCCACCCCATGTATGGCAACATCCTGGCCTCCTGCTCCTATGACCGGAAAGTTATCATCTGGAAAGAAGAAAATGGCACCTGGGAGAAGACCCATGAGCACACAGGACACGACTCCTCAGGTACCTGGAGGGGACAGGCCAGGAGCCTGGGTGGGAAAGGCCTCTGTCTGGTAAAGCCTCAGCTCCCTCCTCCTTGTGATGCTTCTTGTCTGTCATTGGGCTTTGGCTGGCTTTTCAGCTAGTCTGCCCACAGCTGAGGTCAGGTCCCAAGACCTAAAACCAGTCCACAGCAGAATGAGAAAAGTAAAGACAACAGGATGAGTTTTTCTTAAGGTTAAGCTTATTCATTGTAAATACTGGCCTTTATTCTCAGAGTATGATCCTGCTCACTTTTTCGTTAAGATAGACTTCAGTTTATGAAAGGATGATAGTAATACATGCTAAGATTGTTGCTTTTTAATGGCCTTGGCTAAAAAATTACACTTCACCTCCTGTAGTCCCTGCAATTTTTTAGAAACTTAGTAAAACACAAAATCTGGGAAATCAAAGTCTAGAACTCTGGGCCATGGTCTCCCATCTCACTGTGCTCCCTCCTCTTTCTGCAGTAAACTCTGTGTGCTGGGCACCTCATGAGTATGGCCTGATTCTGGCCTGTGGGAGCTCCGATGGGGCCATTTCCCTGCTGACCTACACTGGCGAGGGCCAGTGGGAAGTGAAGAAGATCAACAATGCTCACACTGTGAGTCCAGATGCTGCCTACGTGGAGAGGGTCTCTGTTGTCTTGTCATATGTCTACTGTAGGCTTCCTAAAGAGTGATAAGAGTAGCATCCCTGTTGATCCGCCATGCTTGATAGAGCAGCTTTTAACCTCCTTGCTCTGCAGCCAGACTAAAGGCTACATCCAAGCAGGCCAGGCTGCACCAGCCTCATTCAACCCATGATGGATTGGCACCGATCGGGGAGAACCAGGGGCGCACTGGGGATGTGGCAGCAGCGGCCTGCTCACCTGCAACTTTCACTGTGAACACCTTGAGTTGATAGGCCTTTCGGTAGCCTTTGGAACCCCACAGAAAGCATTATAGGACTTTAATTCCCCATGCTCTTAGTCATTTAACATTTAGGTTGAAATATTTGAGCAAGCATTGTGGGGGAAAGCTTCACATTTCTTAAGTCCTACTGTATGCTAGGCCCTTTGTCATGTAATCCTCACCAACTGACTGAAAGACTGAACCAACAAACGTGCAGCCCTGCATGGAAGAGATCCCATTCCACTTTATGAGGCAAGTGAGACTCAAAAAAAGGAAATGATTTCAGAAGGCACTATGCTGGGATTCAAACCCTGGAATCTGTGCCTTCAAAGCCTTCTCCATACAGTGTTTTGATGGCCTCAAACACTTCTGAAATCTACCCAAACAGAAATTTAAAGTCAGTAGCCCTAAAGCTTGCCCCTGTGCTTTTATAGTTCTCAAATCCAAGGGCTCCAGGAGAGCCCTCGGCCTACTGAGCCCTCAAAGGCCCAGAGTCTGTCTGGGGACCTTGTTGGGGCTTTGTGATTCCCATCTGTTCCCTCTACTTACATAAATGAATAGGCTGGGAGAGGCTTCTGGGAAGGTGATGGTGGGTGGCATCTTAGTTTTTCAGTCTTGCCAAATCACCACATAAAAAACAACAGCAGCTGGGGCACAAGACTGAAACCTCATGAATAACCTTTACGACCAAACTGGGTAACAAGGTCTTTCCACTCCAAAATATATGGGTGGGAATGAACTACCAACAGCCCCAAGACCTGTAAGGCCTAGTATCTGAGCAGGAGGAAGAAGGAAGCAACAGGATGCCTTTTAACAAACATGAGAAGAAGAGTACCCCAAGACAGCCATCAGGTATCCATCGGAAAGTACAGCAGCTAAAACTGGGAGAATTTCTTTTTGCTTTTTAACGAGATATAATTCAGATACCATAAAATTCACCCTTTTTTATCACCTTTGCAAAAAACCCCATACCTCATATCTCTGTTTCCATACCCTAGCCAACCACTGACCTACTTTCTGTCCCTATGGATTTACCTATCCTAGACATTTTCCATAAAAGAGTCATAATCAGATTTGGTTTCCTATAACATTTTCAAGGTTCATCCACATGTATCAGTGCTTCACTCCTTTTTATGGTCAAATAGTATTTCATTCTGTGGATATACGCATGATGTTTATCCCAGTCATCAATTGATGTACATTTTTGGCTATTACGACTAATACTGCCATGAACATTCATGTTTAAGTTTTTGTATGAACATGTTTTCAATCGGATACCTAGGAATAAAAATTGCTAAATCATATATTAATTCTAGGTTTAACTTTTCAGTGAACCACCAGATTTTCCAAGGTGACTGCCCATTTTATTTTCCTACTACCAGTGTATGAGAGTTCCACTTTCTCCACATCTTCATCAACACTTGTTATTGTCTGTCTTTTTTATTATAGCTATCTTAATTGTATCTTGTTATGGTTTTGATTTGCATTTTCCTAATGAGTAATGAGGAGTGCCTGGGTAGCACAAATAGTTAAGCCCTGGACTACTAGCCAGAAGGTTGGTGGATTGAACTGACCAGAAGCACCTCAGAAGGCAAGCCAGGTGATCTGCTACCAGCAGGTCACAGCCTTGAAAAACCCTGGAGCAGTTTTACTCCGCACATATGGGGTCACCATGAGTCAAAATCAACAGCAGCTAACAACAAAATGAGTAATGATGTTCAGCATCTTTTCATGAAGCACAGTGTTCTGTTGCAGGGTACAAGGATAGAGTCATCACATGTACCCCCTCTTTACAGATTGGCTGCAATGCTGTCAGCTGGGCCCCTGCTGTTGTACCTGGAAACCTCATAGACCAGCCATCTGGGCAGAAACCCAACTACATCAAGAAGTTTGCATCAGGCGGTTGTGACAACCTCATCAAGCTGTGGAAGTAAGTGGGGTTGTGGGGACTTGTCAAGAGGGGCACTTCTTACTCTCTGTACCCTATCTACCATGACTCAACCACAGTTGACAAGAAAGAAGACCAACTTTCTTTTTCCCCACTGCCAGTAAAATACTGTTTTCAGTGTATCAGAGAATATCCTTTTAAAAAAAAAAGTGCCCTTTCCTTAAGTATATTTACTGTTCACCTAATTTCCAGTAGCTAGGGCTGAATTTTTGGCTGTGGAGCACCAGAGCATTTCCTGGAGAGTTTCTTTACAGCTGGAGGAAGTGAATGAAATTCTAAAGGCTCAGTGAATGAAATAAGAAAGATCAACTAGCTCCTCACCCCTTGTGGATCCAGGCTTGGCAGGGAGGGAGGTGTGGAAAAGGTACCTGGGCTGCTGCCTGTTGAGTTATCCCTCTGGTGTCCCCTGTTAGGGAGGAGGAAGACGGCCAGTGGAAGGAGGAGCAAAAGCTGGAAGCACACAGTGACTGGGTTCGTGACGTGGCCTGGGCCCCCTCCATTGGTCTGCCAACCAGCACCATTGCCAGCTGCTCCCAGGTCAGCTCAGCCCCATGTTGTTTAATCTGTCAGTCTCATCAGCCCTTACAGTTTGCCAGAGGAAAAGCCCTCTTGAAAGGTAAGGGCAGAGATAGGACAGGGCACATGGAATCAGTCATCATGTGATAAGAGTCTTGGTTAGAAGCCACAGGTGGCTTGCCACTATGGAGATAAAATGGTTATGATGAAACCAGCCGCAAGAGTAGGGCCAAATTCAGGACCAGTGTCCCCTCAGCACCCTTGTGTGCATAGGTATAGAGGAGCCCAGCTGCAATTCTGAGTGTTCCCACGCAAGGCCCAGGGGTTGGCAAGTGCTAAGACTATAGACTGATCTTTCCAAACCACTAGCGCCAGACAGATCACAGAAATGAAACCAAGGACAAGCTTTTAATCATCTACCACCACCACCCTAGATAAGAATTAAGCTGAGTTGTATATTATTTGAACCTGTTTTTTGTTGTTGTTGTTCTTAACTTGCCCTTTCTTTTTCTCTGACCCCAGTTTTCATTCCCAACTCATTCAGCTGAGAAAATATAGACAGCATAAGGGAACGCAAATAAGGAAATGACAGGCAGCCCTGAGAACCCCAGAAAAAGTCTGAACATTAACAGTGCAGAGAAAGTCTGTATCTGAAATGATGATGAAAGGAACCTGGGACACTTCTCATCAGTTGAAAGTGTATTCCTAGGGGTGAAGGGATTAAAGCAAGATGGTAGGCTGCAAATTGGTCATCAAAGCTGTGGATGCCCAAGTAGTCCTTGGCTATACATTCGCTTGTAGTTACCCATCCTGTTCCTGCAGAGAAGTCCAGTGTGGCTCCAGAATGGGAGGCTGTCCCCAATGGGGGAGCCCCACCTACATCTCCTGACTAGACTCTCTCTTCCCAGGATGGACGTGTATTCGTCTGGACCTGTGATGATGCCTCGGGCAATATGTGGTCCCCTAAACTGCTGCACAAGTTCAGCGATGTGGTGTGGCACGTGAGCTGGTCCATCACAGCCAATATCCTGGCCGTCTCAGGCGGAGATAATAAGGTACATCCCTTTGTCCAGTGACACAGTGGACAGGGCCCTCCTTGTCTTTACCCACTAGAGGGAGCATTTGACATTTATAGACTACTCTCTGGCTTAGAAGGAACCTTAGATGAGGACTGAATTTTGAGCATGTGTCTTGATTCCATCCCTAAATCGTATAGTCCACTGAGAGGCAGTATGTCCGTCTTTGACAGATGAGGAAAGAAACTTGTAAGCAGTCTGACTTGCATAAGGGTCACAATGCCATTAGGTGGAAGAGCAATAATCAGGCCCAAGTTAAACCAAAAGTACTTCTTGAGTGAACATCATTAACCCTTTGGCTGTCTCATCTTCATGGCAGTTAGCCAAAAAATAAGCAGGTAAGTAAAAGAGCCCACAAATAAAAGGAGAAGATGGGATATTTTCTGTCCAAGCACCAAAGACTTATTTTTATAAGTCAGTACCATTCACAAGTACTTGTTCCACCTACTGTGCTGCCCTGCTATGAGCCATACAAAGGGAAGGGGAAGACGTGGAGTCCAGGCAGCCACCAGAAAACTTAGACAAAGGCCAGCATGGGCTAGGACAGAGAGCAGAGTCACACTTTGGGAGCAAAGCAAATGTACTAGAAGGATCATCATGACCACTCCATTTGGAGCCTGCCCTGTAAAGTTAGAGAGCCTCTGTCTTAGAGAATTGAGTTGGGTAGATGGCATTGGCCTGTTCTTCTTTCTGCAAGCAGCTTTCCTCCAGCCTAGCATCCTTTCTGTCTGCTGTGGTCCCAGAAAAATCTAGCAGGCCCTATCTCAAAGATACAGAATTTTGGTGCTGGAGTTGCCCTTAGAGGACAACTGACCTAGCCGTCCTTGTTTCTACTGAGTGCCAGGCATAGGACTGGCACCCAGGTATTTGATGGCCAGGATAGGTCAAGGGTCCCATACCTACCTTATGCCATGATTTTGACAAAGCAGTAACCAGATGCCTGGTTGCACTTTACATTCGTGTGTTGGGTCTGCCTTTACTGGTGTTTTAAGCTCCTGGCTCCCTTCTTCGGAAGCCTGTTTTACAAAGCGCTCATGATACTGCTGTTCGTATAACACCCCTTTCCTAAAGGACTGAGACCCAGAGCATCCTATACAGGCCACATTTAGTGAATAAAGTCCGTTCCTGAAGCAGAATTTTTTTTTTTTTTTTTTTTTAATCAAATTAACACATGTACATAGCTTTAGGCAGTTTTTACTGGGTTATGATTTTTTAAATGCACTCTTCTGATCCTCTCTCCAGGGGCAAACTTTTTCAGCTCTTAGCCATCTCTTCCTCTATTCACCTTCATATGGACACTGATCTATTGTCCTCCTTTACTACCACAGTTCTCACACTTTTCCATTGTTAAATTTATGGAAAGTGCACATTACTAGCTCTACCCACAGAGTTTCTGAATCTGCAGGTCTGGGTTGGGGTTCAGCAAGTTCCCAGTATGGGGGCCACTTTGAGAACCACTGCTCTATCATTTGGTTAAAGCAGCCTCCTGTACTTACATCAACAGTATTCACAGCATTACCATCTCTCAGCTATTGTTGTTGATACTCCTTTTTTCTTTATCTGTGTGAATGTTTATTCATTAGCATTCATTTCAATGGGATTTCAGTAGGGAACCCAGATAAGTGCTCTGGTTCCCAACAAGCCTCTTTGGTTCTCAACGGGGATGTGGGCTCCTATCTCAGGGACCCAGTGCAGTAGGACAGTGGAGGGAAGAGGAGGGGAAGCAGACCTGTGATGGGCTTTGTGCTGTTGGCTTGCAGGTGACCCTGTGGAAGGAATCGGTTGACGGGCAGTGGGTGTGTATCAGTGATGTCAACAAGGGCCAGGGGTCTGTGTCTACCTCCGTCACAGAGGGCCAGCAGAATGAGCAGTGATGGGACAGGCAGGACCTGCTCCCCACCTGCTGATTATAGGACTGCTCCTCCCTGAGCCAGCCCAACCAGGCAACTGGGAAGACATGCTTCCAACTCAACAAGACCAACAGGACAGTTTTTCCAGAAATAGTTATAGATGCAACCTAAGAGTGATCGTCTGCCTTAACATGCTTGGATATGGCTTCTAATTTACTCTGTCTGAAAGCACTCATATTATGAAGAAAAAACTACAAATGATCTTCAAATCTATTATTTTAAAATATTTTTTGGCCATTTTTATGTACCTTTTGGGTTCAGGTATTATTTGGGGGGTTTTGTTTCCAAAGTAATAAAATCATATTGCTTATAATTCTTACTGCCCTATCCTAACCCCTAAAATGCTCTGTTTGACTTAGTTAGTGCACTGACCAGTAGCCCCTGTATTACATGATGTCCAAAAGTTACCAAGCCTCAGATCTGTGTGACCTGGCTGCAGCCCTGCTTCCCCTTAGGCTGGTCTGTCACTGTAAGCATCCTTGTCATGAACCACCTACCAGTACATGAACCTCAGATTCATGTGCCCCACAGACTTCTGCTGGAGGGTGACTCAGGTTCCAGGGGTGCCAAGTCCTAGAGACTGCCATCATCATCCTCTGCAGAAGCACAAACCCCTGTGGAGCAGGTGTCATTAACCCATTGTCAGGTCAGCTCTAGAGTCCCTGCTGGAATAAGTGTCCAGACAAGTGCTATAGCCTTTCATTCTACCAAAGCCAGTGAGGAAAAGTCCACATCCTACAGTGGATTGTCAACCTTTGTAAACAAAGATAGCATTTCATTCATAGTCTCTGGTGCATAGAAAGTGCTGTAGACCAAAGGCAGGTCATTTGTATATAACAATGATAACTATAACAAACAGGTATACATGCTTCCTTCCTGTACTGTGGCTAAGTGAGTAGAGGGGACAGGGACACATCTTCACTGAGTGCTTGACGCATGCCTCTGGGGCTCTGCTCCAAGTGCCTCATTTGGTTTAATCCTTAAGATCCTCGGAGTTGCTATCAAGTAAGGCCCAGAGAAGTTAACGCTAATTCCCATAGTTAATGCATGTAAGTGAAAGAGCTGGATGCTGACCTGCAAATAAGCCACTTTGAAGGATGATGAGGAAGAGGTACAAGTGGAGAGAATGGGCGAAAGTTGATTCTCCTGGCATCTGGCAGCTGTTTGAAATGCTAAATAGTGGGTCAACCTTTATTCACAGATCTTCAGCCCCTTTTTGTCCTTGAATATTTAGAATACCAGAAAGAAAGGTGATCTGGCCTATGGATTATTATCTATAAGAATGCTGAAACACAAGGAAAAAGTTACAACATGGGATATGGCATGCATAGCCTCTCATACCTTAAGGGGGCTCTGCTGCATTCAAGTGAGCTCCAAGAATTCCAGAAGACATACATGTGGAGCCCTGTAAAAGGAGTACTAGACTGGGCCCTCGAGGACAGGGACTTTAGCCCTGACTGTTACTTCCCCTCTCTGGGTACACTTCCCTTTCTGTGATGTTTGTTGAATGCCATAGAGTCAACTCCGACTCATAGTGACCCCCTGTGACAGTAGAACTGCCCCATAGGGTTTTCTAGGCTGTAATCTTTACGGGAGCAGATTGCCAGGTCTTTATTCTACTGAGCCACTGGGTGGGCTCAAACTGCCAACCTTTCACTTAGCAGCTAAGGGCTTAACAACTTAATTCATGTGGGTGACCTAAAAAGTGCCGTGGAAATGTAAGGTAGTACTCACTAGACACATAATTAAGAGGCTGGCCAGAAAAGTGGGCAAGATTCATTCCATTTATTGAGCGTGTCAGTGAAAGGAGGGGCCTGTGAGGTAGGAGACCACAGTTCTGGTCCTAATGGACCCTCAAGCAGACACTTAAATCAGCAGAGGTCCTGGGACCCTCACATGAACCAACAGTCACAAAGATAGCTACCATTGATAAACCTGTTGTGAGCCCAGCACGCATTTGAACTTTTACACGTTAACTCACTGAAACAACACAACCTGTGTAAGTCTGTATCCCCAGTGTACTGATGAATTAACTGGTACAAGAGGTACAAGTCCTGCCCAGTGCTGTCCACTGCCAGGTTGAAAACCAATCTGTCTTAACTCGAAACTCAGTACTCCTGCCACTACGGAAGCCTGGAGAGGCGGATGTTGGGGTTCCTTGGCATTAATCTAGGGTGATGATCACACCCATACATGAATGCGCTTGGATAAAGATTGCCTTTACATGGGTGGCTATGTGTAGAGGTAAATGTGGACCCCTATACTTTCTCCCCTTGTGGCACAATGGTTAATTGCTCAGCTGCTAACCAAAAGCATTTTGAACCCATCAGCAGCTTCACTAGAGAAAAGACCTGGCAATCTGTTCACGTAAAGATTTTAGCCTAGAAAATCCTATGTGTCAGAACTAAAGCCAGTGGAACAGATGAGAACTGGCAACAGAATATTCCTCAGTTCCCTGGCCACTTATTCCCCCTCCTCTACTCAAACTCCCAATGTTAGACTGCTCAGGGTTCAGTTTGGGATGCTCCTCTCATTCTGCTTTCTCACAGACCAGTCGTCCTCAGTTGAGGGTGATTTTGCCACCAAGGGACATTTTGCAATGTCTCAAGACGTCTTTGGCTATCACAACTGGGTGGGTTGCTACTGACGTACAGTGGATGGATGCACATGACAGTGCCCTAAAACAGAATGATCTGGTCCAAAACATCAATAGTGTTGAGGTGGAGAAACTTCGCTCTGGATGATCTCATCTATTCCACTACCTTCAACTACCATCAATACATTGATAATACTAATTTGTAGACTAGACATCTTTTTTAAACTCCAGACCCACTGCTTCTCAAAATCTTAAAAAAAAAAAAAAAAAGACAATCTGCCCCTGAAAACAGCAAGTCCTGTTGCTTCTGCCTTCAGAACATGTCCAATATCCATTCACTTCTACCTCCCCTTGCTACTGCCAGTATCAGTATTTTACCTGGACTATTAGAATAGCCCTTGCTTTGTCCTTTGCCCTATTAAAATCCACTGTCCATACAGCTTCAAGTAGAGCCATCTTTTACAAATTTGATCACATCTCTTTCTCCATGGTTGCTCACAGCAACCCCTCCTTGGGTTTCCGAGGCGGTATCTCTACGGAAGTAGGTTGCCCAAGCTTCCTTCCGAAGAGTGGCTGGTTGAACCGCCAGCCTTCTGGCTAGCAGTCAAATGCCTTAGGCACTATACCACCAGAGCTCCCACACACAGCAGGCCATTAATTCAAATCCATTGAAAGTCCCATGATCAGCAAAGCATGGCATGGTACTGAATGAAGACTTGACTACGTGCAGGGTTCAATCATGCCAAAAAGCTAGAGAGCTTCCTCAAAGCTTCTCCTTATATATAGGAAGCAGACCAAATCCCTAAAGCAAGCTACTCACCTGCTCGTGGCAGATTCCACCTTGGAGCTGATTGCCAGTCTCATCACTGGGAATAACTACCAGCAGCTGCCCAGCCAAGTTTATATATAACCATAACTACACCACAGGGAGTAACAGGTTACAATTCAGAATCAGAAACAACTCGGGATACTGTTCTTCAATGAGGACAGCTTCTCAGCTGTGTCACAGACACGCTTCTCTGGCCTCAGCCTCTACTCTGCTTAGGCCAGTGCTACAGACCTCTTTCAGCTTTGCTGATAGGTGCCCAGAGTGGGACCCCACTCTGCCAGCAAGCCTCCTGCTTGAAGGCACTCAGCTTCTTGCTCCATGGGCCGGGAAGCCCATTGCTCTGTCTCATGCCAGTCTCTTAGTTCTACTGCCACCATTTCTCTTTCACTGCTGCTCACCATTTCTTGTTATCTCAGCAGAGTGTTACAACTCTGTTTCCTGGGTCAAGGAAGTTCACTGTAGGGATCTCAGGTCCAAAGGCTGCGCTTCACTCCTGGCTCTTCTTTCTTGATGGTAGTGATATCTCCTCCACTTTCTACCTTTGGGATGGCTCATTTTAAGCCTAGCAGATGGCAAAATGAACCAATCCCTATGTCCCATACACCTTATTTCCATGGCCCCATCTCCACAACAGTACCATGTACTTTATTTACATTATTAACAAGCTGCCTGATCCCCTTGGTGGGCCACAAAGTACCTCACACTTGCATAGTCCCACCCAGTCATCTGGTGGGAGTCACAAAGACCATGGCTACAAGAGCCATACTAAGCAATCTACTGCATCACAGACACATTTGCATACACTTCCCAAAATGCACACAAGCCACTCTGGATTCTTCATTTATCAACTACCTCATTATCTGATATTTCATATTTAGGACAATAGTAAAAAATAATACTATCTGATTATTTTGCACATTAGTGATGTACATCTGGCAGTAACTCATCCTGAGGTGTACGGCAACAGTAATACTAGCTATCATGGTTAAGGTTATGTGCCAGTTTGGCTGGGCCATGATTCTCAGTGGTTTGGCAGTTAAGTAATGATGAAATTTGGCAATTATGTAACTAAGAGAAGGTTCACAGACTTCTTTATAAGTGAGTTCAAAAAAAGTAAGGGGAGACTTGCACATCAGCACATGAAAGATTAATGGGATTAATTATAAACAAAAACAAACTACAGAACCACACAAAATAAAACAACTGTTTTCAGACATAAAACAAAAGGCAGTACCTGGGAGAAGAGAAACAAAGGAGGTGAGCACCACTAGTGCCCCAGCTTACTGCCTACAGGCAGTTTCCAGGCCAAAAGGCAGAAAGAAAAAATCCAAAGAGAGTCTAGTGGTCTAACTGAGTTGAAGAGACAGATACCACAGTTCAGGAATGGCCAAGGAGCTAGAACTTATTATGAGTACTCAAGAGGAGGCTACTGCAGAGTGAAAAAGCTCTAGAGATCTGCAGAAAAATATCCTAGAAGAACAAAACTCAAAATAATAGAAAAAGGACCAGGTTTGTTGGTCTGATAGAGCTTGGTGAAAGCCTTGAGACTCTTGACCCCTAGCCCCTAGCTGCCCTTCAGGTGTGGAATTGAACCCACTCCTGTGGCTACCAGCCAAATAAAAGATCGGCATATGGGCTAAACATTTATATCAGGTAGATAAGATACTCCTTGGAGAGAGAAATCATGGGAGAACAGAAGGGCAATGTATGCACAGGGAGACCGCTTGGGGGGCAGGAGTGCATGGGAGGGAAGGACAAAGGGAAGAGGTAACTATGGGGAGGAAGTAGAAAAAGAGCTATTACATTGTGGGAAATTGCAGTCAATGTCACAAGACAAAATGTGTATGAACTGCTGTATGTAAAATGAATTTGCTCTGTAAACTTTAAT